TATATATATATGATAAAAACTGAGGATTTATATGGAGAATTAATTTTTCCCTTCTCTTTAGCACCTGCTGGATGTAAATTCTTTGAAGCATCTGACAAGGCTGACCCTGCAGGATCGCATTACCAAGTCTCTTCTTCATTTGCACAAGAAGAAGAAACCTCCCAGCATCAGTGCCCAGTTTCAGGTTGTTTCCAATTTTATTTATACCACAAAAGATTGTGTTGCTTTCCAGTTGTCACTGAAAGGTCAGAGTGATGTGCAAAGACTTGACTAGGATATGATGATGTGACTAAAACCCATATTTCAGTGGTCACTTTGTAAAGAATTACCCAAGGTGGTAAAAATAAGTCACCTGCTCTTTTGTTTTTCATCCGTATGCCTCTGGATGGTGGATTTCTCAGTGAATGATTCATTAATTTCAGTGTAAGCAGAACATGAGAGGAATCATTATAAACCAAATCTGCCTTCAAACCCCACAGCCCAGTGTAGTCACTGCTAGCACAGTGGTATCTTTTTTGGTGGTTTGTAGTTAAGCTTTGTGCTGCTGCTGTCAGCAGTTATCTAAATGAGATTTTAGGCAATTGCGTTAACTTTGTTTATATTAGAAATTGAGGGGGTTTTGGCATTTAGGAAAATAAAATAATAGATTGGTTGAGTAATGTTCAAAATAATTGTCTGCAAGATATTTTTCTAAATTGTATCTACTCTGAAGTATTTCTGTCCAAGCTCTTTTGATAGGTACTACAAAAATAAGCTGAAAATTTTGTGGATAACTATTTGTATAAAAGAAGCACCATATCACTGTTAACAGGAAATTCTCTTGTCTGTGGTAGTTATATTTCTACATAATACTTTTTAAAATCCTCCTTTTAAATCCAGGATATTTGATTACAAATTATGTTACTAATGTGTTACTATGTATGTTATTTGGTTTATTAGCACTGGAAAGGGAACTCAAACAAATGCCAGTGGCCTTGTTAATTTAATTTAAGATGAAAGTAGAAGAGGCAGCTAGAATTTATGGGGCATTGTAGTGGAGAGGAGGAAGATGCACAGAAGCAGCAACAGAGCTACTAAGGGGTCTCCCTGAGTATGCAGCTGACTATTGATCTGTGCAGATGGGAGGGAAAACTACATGAGACTGAGAAAAACAACTACTAGAATCCAGTAGATGTAACAGTTTATATACACACATATCTAGAAGATTAATTTTGTTACCACCAGCCAGAATGGCGTGACCTCTTGGCACATGGACCAGAATGACCTAGCTTCAGTAATGAAACTGAAATAGTCCTAGTGTTAAAGCTGCTCTGCCCTGTCCTTGCAAAGTTTAAAGACAAGTTTTCAAAGAACCAAGTTCATTTTAAGGAGTGTGAGTACATTCTAGGGAAAATACTTGTTATTGAAAGAAATCCAGCAGTGTTAAAAACATCTAACATTAAATCAGAAATTACTTAGCATGCAAAGTATCAGGAAAAGAATCCATAACTAGGAGATAACTGGGCAGGGTGGTGCATGCTTGCAATCCTAGCACCTCTGTGTGTGGGGGGTGAGCTGGGAGGATTGTCACGAATTCAAAGCCAGCCTGGACTACATAGGAAGATCATTTCTCTAAAAAAAAAAGGGGGGGTGGGTGGGTGGTTAGGGTGGATTGTTCAGAGTAGAACTAAAAATAAGATGGTGTAAATAATAAATAAAAAATTCAAAATAGGCATTACAAATTTTTGAAATATGCTTAGTATAACAGACATGAATAGGATGGGAAAAATATAGAATATATTTGTCTTGAATGACAGTCTCTATATGCTGTCCCAGAAGAAGGGGCTATTATAAATTCCCCTCCCTCCTCTCTTCCACTTCCCCTTACAACCAGCAAAAAAGAAGGTTAAAAAGAGGTTCAAATGGAATTTTTAAAGATTAAAGATATATTATTTGATAATAAAAAGTAAGCTCAATAGAATTAACATTTATTAGTTCACAAGTAGTGAATTTGAAAACATATTTAGTTGAAAACTCTTGGGCTGGTGAGATGGCTCAGTGGTCTAAAGCACCTACTTGGAACAAGCTTGGCAAAGCACAGGGACCGTGGTTCGATCCCCCAGCACCACATGCCAGCCAGCCCCACCCCCTGGTGGGCTGAGCTGGCCACACACACACACACACACACACACACACACACTAAAAAAAAAATGTTTAAAAAAAAAAAAAGAAAACTCTTGAAAAAAATAACAGATGAGAAGAAGAAAATGACATCCATAACTTGTGGGATAAAATCAAGTTGTCTAACTAGGTGTTATTAGAATCTTGGAGAAGAAAAACATACTTGAAGAAATGTAAACCAAAATATTTTCTGACTGATTAAAGAATATCATTAAACCATAAGCAGAAAAACACACCAAAGTATGTAATATCAAATTGCTAAAACCCATGATGAAAAGAACATCTTAAACATAGAGGAAAAGAAGAAACCTTAATTAGGTGCAGAGAAGGTAAGAAAACATTGGATTTCTCATCAGAAACTATGAAACCCAGAAAACAACAAAATGATGTTTTTTTAGCTTTTATTTATTTTATTTATTTTTATTTTTTTATTAATTGTATTGAGAAACAAATAGCAATAAGACAGTTTCAAAATTGATTAATGGGACAGTTTTAAAGAATATAATATAGTAAAATAAAATTAGAAATGATATTGCATTAAGCAGAGTAATAGGAATTCAACAATGGTTGCTGTATTGTATGATGTTATCATTCAAATTAGATTTTTAGGTTACCAGATATAAACCTGAAAAATTGGTTAAAACAAAACAAAACACCACCAACAAAGTAGTTATAAAAAATTAAAAGAAAATTTAAGCATTAACCGCTTTCAAAAGACCAACAGAAATCAGCACTACACAAAATGATGATTTTAAAAGATTATAATACATAGCTAGAACTTTTGATATTTTTGAATCTCTTTTTCTTACTTTTCTCATTTCAGAGACAAAAATACCTGCCACCCAAGGTTAAAGGAGAAAAGGTTTATTTATAAGCTCACAGTTTGTAGAGATCCATAATTGACTGGCTCCAAGGCAGGGTGGATGGCAGAGGGTCAACTGTTCATGGTGGTGGAAGACAGCTAAAGCAGCAAGAGCAGAAAGGGAGAGAAGCAAGCCCCTTTTCCCTCCCTTATACTGTGTGAGGCTGCCTGCTCCAGGGCTGGTGTAGTACTCACACCACCAACCCCAGCACTAGACAATGCTTCACAAACTAGATTCAACTGCCTCTGTAAAGCCTGCCCTCCATGACTGCATGAGCCTGTGGGGAGACCTCCAGACAAATCATAACAATCTTTGTTTTAAAAAAAAATGAATGCTAGAGACTTTGCAGAGAAGAAGCCAAGAGATTTCATTATTACCCGATGTACATTACTGGAAATATTAAATATAAACACTGACAAATAATGATGGGGAAAAAAACCACTGGAGATTTAGGTCTCCATAAATAGTACTGGAATGTTATAGAAATGTAGCTTAGTTGGAAATTATTTTTCTCAAAAGGTAATTGGTTGTAGCAAACAAAAATAGTACTGTATTGTGGGTTAGAAATAAAATGTATGAAAAAATTATCATAGAAGAAAGTAAAACTTAGGTGAAAATAAATGATGTAACATTTGAAGGTAAAATGACAAAGGTGAAATCCTAGAGCAATTTTCTGAATTAGAAATAGGTGATGAGCTAGTAGCAAAACTACAGTAGAATCCTAAAATGTACAAAAAATAGAAGAAGCACCTGATTGACAAAAATAAATAGCAAATTGGTAAGAGATTTCCTCTCCCTTCCTTTGTCCCTCGTCCATCTCTTGTTAAATTGTATTTGGGATATTTCTTCTTAAGATTTTGTCTCCAACAGTTAAATGTCAGCTTAAATGAGTTAGTTCCTCTGGCCAACAAACTTTCTAAGTAAAATCTTTGAGATGATGCAACTTGAGCATAAAGGAAAGAATGATGGAGTATTTACACATAGATCATCCATGTGAAAGTGTGGCCACTTCACAAGTACCATGTCCCTGATCAATTCCTTAAGAGAACTTTGTGACTTACTTTGATATAATATTGTTGCTGAGATACATGTCTAAACCTGCTGATAAATCTGCTGTCTCTCTCCCAGCCTGACAGACATAGCTCAGCCACTCAAGACCTTCAGGCTTCTTGGAGACATTTCCTTCCTTCTGTCCATCCGTCCGTTTGTCTATCCTTCCTTCCTTCCTTCCTTCCTTCCTTCCTTCCTTCCTTCCTTCCTTCCTTCCTCCCTTTCTCTCCCACTCCCTCTCCCTCTCTCCTTTCTCTGTTTCTTTCTCTTCTATCTGTTCCTTCCCCTCCTCCCTCTCTTTCCCCCGCCCCCTCCCTCTCTCCATCCTTCCTTCTCTGTCTCTTTCCCTCCCTCTTCCCTTCCCTGCCCTTCTCTCCTTCTTCTTTCTGCCCACTTTCCTCCCTCTTTCCCTCCCTCTTTCCCTCCCTTTTTCCCTCCTCCCTCCCTCCCTCCTCCTCATCTTCCTTCCTTCCTTTGTTTCTTTCTTTGTCTTTCCCTCCTTCCTCCCTTCTTTCCTTCTTTTGGTGACAAGGTCTCACTATGCAGTTCATGCTGCCTTGAACTCGTTTTGTTGCCCAGGTGGGCTTTGCCACCATTATTGTTTTATTAATCAGCATAGTCCTTTGCTTGAGGTAGTAGAAAGTAAATTTTCTTTTCCCTATTTCTCAGATAAGTAAACTTCAGAATGGAAAAAAGTTACCAAAGAGGAATATTTCATTATGATAAGGAGTAATTTATTTTCAATATGTAATCCTAAGTGTATTTTCAATATGTAATCCTAAGTGTATGTTTTTAACAGAGGCCCTAAATATCTAAACACAAACCTCATGGAACTAAAAGAGAAAAAAATGGAAAAATCTGTAATTATTCTTGAATACTTTATCACATTTCTCAGTAATTCTTAAGATAAGTAGGCAGGGAAATATATGGAAGACTTGAACAGAACTGTTACCTTTCAGTAGCCTAATTGAGATGAATAAAACATTCCAGCCAACAACTCCATAATGTATATTCACTTTATGTGCTTATGGAATGAACACTTTCCAAAATAGATCTTAAGTGGCCTTTCATAAAACAAGGCTTAACAAAGTTAAAGTTAAAATCACATAAAATATTTTATTTGGCCATAATAGAATTAAGCTAAAAATCAAAGAATAACTCTCCTCAAATAGTTGGAAAAGAAAAATCAGATTTTTAAGTAGTACTTAGTCAAAGTGAGAGTAAAAAATTCAGAGTTATCTTAATAAATTTTTATTGGAATTAAATAGAAAAATTTATGTGCAAGGGCCGGGGAGATGGCTCAGTGGAGTAAGCACTTCTCTGGCAAGTACAAGGACCTGAGTTCAATCCCCGGTTCTGCCAAAAAAACACCTATGTGCATCGAAAGCAATACTCCAAGGTTAATTTATATCATTAAATATATGAACATATTGAAAATGTTCTTAGGAGATTAGCCTTAAGTCAATAATCTAAGCTTTTTACCTTAGTAAACTAGAAAAAGTATATATTAAACCCAGAGCAATTAGAAGGAAATAGAAAGGTAATAGGAGAGTTCAATGAAATTGAAAACAGAAAAAGAGAAATATCAGTGTAACCAAAGCAATAGTAGTTCTTTGACTGGATTTAAAAATTGTTAAATCTCTAGCTAGATGGATCCAGAAAAAAGAAGGTACAAATTGTCATTATTTGGAATGAAATAATGAACATTGCTGTATACTCTAGAACCATTAAAATTAAAGCAATGAAGTGCTACTATATAAGATACCATATTGGATGAATTTTAAAGTTTTTCAAAAATGTACACATTTGAATGAAGTAAAGGGATTGTGAAAATATAGTGACAAATTTTCTATGCTTATATTATTCTGAACTATGTGTGTAGTATTTACTGTTACCCTTAGGATCAGTGAGCTAGCTCAGGAGACTAAGTGCCTGTTTAGGCAAGTACAGGAACAGGAGGGGTGTGTGTGTGGGGGGGTGGGTATTGTTGGGTACTAGTACCACATCCTGTGCGGGCCCCGCCCCCAGATGGGCCCAGCCCCTAAGTCTGGGCATGGTGGCACACCACACACCTATAATCCCAGTGCTGGGGAGGCTAAAAACAGGAGAATCATGAATTTGAGCTGCATAGTGAGATCCTGTACCAGATACATAAAATTTTTTAAAAATTGAATTACCATCCTTAACTTTATCATAAATTTAACCAGAATGGGAATGTATAGTTTGTTTCCTAGAAACAAAACTTTTCTATGTATTTGTAGACAGTTTTTACATATTCTGGCAATATCATTTATTTTATAAGTTTATTTATAAATTGTTGCAAATTTGGAACTAGAGAATGTGCTAACTGTATTGCTTTGAATTGTAGGCGTCGTTAAGCAAGCTGATGGAGACACTAGGACAAGCAGAACCATATTTTGTGAAATGCATTCGCTCTAATGCTGAAAAGGTAAAAATGTTTTGTGAACGTTACCATTTAGCTTAGGTTACTTCAAACCAAAATTTAAATCCATTTTTGAAGAGATTGGAGAGGAAGAGAGCTGTCTATAATTTTTGTAAGGAAAATAGTGTTTTATAAATACTTTCTATGGCTCCTCTTCTCACATCCACATTTACCTGTCTTATTGTGTTTGTGCCCATTTGACTTAGCATCTCTAGCATTTAAAAAGCAAATAATCCTTGAAATTTCTTCAGAACTGAGTTTACTTCTGTCAAAAATTTCTTTTACTTAAAAGATTAATCTCTCTTTTGGGAAATATGCTATCCTTAATATTTTTCTCCTTTAGGGTTTCTTGTCCCTTTCTTCTTAGGCAGATCCCATGGTCATTCTTGATTCCTTTGTCTTTTCTATGGCAATTCCTATAACTAAGAAAAATAGACAACACAGAACATAAAAATAAGGGGTTTTTTTGTGGGGTGGTACTGAGCATCAAACTCAGGACCTTGTGCTTGCCAGGCAGGTGCTGTGCTGCTAAGCTTTATCCCCAGCCTCTACAAATAAGTATTCCTTTACAAGTAAATAATCATGTAAATCTTTGTCACTTTTGTGTTCATCATAGGAAGAAGTAGTTCCAGCCTAAACAGCAAGATTTAATAGGAATTCTGTTCAACTTTCTCACTTTTTACAGAAATAATCTGCAGGTCTGCTAATTAAAATTTTAGAGAAGTTACTTGATATCTTAGTCACTTTCTTCATTGTTGAAACACAGTACCTGACACCACAGAAGGAAAGGTTTATTTCAGCTTTCAATTTGTAGATGTTTCAATCCATAGTCAGCTGGCTCTAAGAAAGGTTGGCTTGGACTAGAAACAGAGAACATCAAGAGTGGAGTCAGAAAGGCAGCTAAAATCTTCCCAGGTCACACTCCTCAGGACTTGCCTACTCCCACCAGATCCTTCCTCTTACAAGCCAGCCAGTAGTAAGGCCCCATAATCACCTTCCTCAACCTCTAGCCTGTTAGCTCAAAGCTTTTGGGGGACATCAGGATATAAATTATAACATGTGATTATTATGTGGCTTAAACATTTTAATTTGTCCTTTATGTACTACAAACATGTACTAATAAAGTTAAAATGAAAAACTTTTAATACATGTAATAATAAACTGTAATTATAGGAATAACCTCTATTTTGTGGCCATATTTGTTAGCCATAAAGTGCCTATTTCTGCCTGTACTAAGTAGTTAGTATATGTTAGCTATTCTCTTCTAGTGACTACAAAACAAACTATTATGTTTAAATATAACTTTGAGGGGTCGGTCAAACAGCTCGGTGGATTAAAGCTCCTGCAAGCAAGCACAGGGGCCTGGGATTTGATCCCCAGGCCTGCCATGCCGGCCCTGCCCCCAGGCACCCTGAGATGGCAGTTGAGACTGGGTGTGGTGGCTCGTGCCTGTAATCCCAGCACTTGCGGTAAACAGGCGGATCAGACCCTTCCCTAAAGAATACAAAAAAGAAAAAAAAATAGAACTTTGAGTTTCAGTTATTGAGATCTTGCTATACATGGAGTTCAATTAATGAAGTAGTTCAGGAGTATAGAAGTACCAAATGTTAACTATTATTACCTGACATTATTTGCTCATTTTTTCTTTTTATTTTCCTTGATAGCTAGTGTGTTCCATCTAGCTGCAAGGGCAAGTGCTTGGGATTGCCTTAGACAGGCGATTGAAAATACTATTTAGGAAACAGAAAAAATATCAGAGGCTCCAAGTATATCTTGTTTTGAGTATCCAAAAACATGTATAATGAGATATCTTGGAGTGATAGGCTGTTGAGATTGGTGTTGAATGGCTACCTCCCATTAGCCTTTCCTTGTCAGTGCCTGTAGTAAACAAATTAATTCTGAGAGACTACAAGATTTTTCTTTCAGTGCTTCCTGCCAATATGATCATCAAAAAAAAAAAAAAAAAATTAGGGAAAAAAACTTCTTCACCTTATGTTGGAAAAAGCATCTTTAAGCTCTCATTTAACCATTTAACTGACAGATGATTTCTCATACTATTATAAAGTCAAATGAAACACAGATATGATAAGCTAGGTGTGGTAGCATAGGTCTAGCACTGGAGAGGCTGAATCAGGAGAATCACTTGAACCTAGATGTTCTAAATCAACATGGACAGCACAGCAAGACTCCATCTCAAAAAAGAAAACACAACTACTACAGAAATAAAAGTTCTGTACAAGTAGGTCTTGACTATGTTTAAGTAGATTACTTGTGTTACAGATGTTATAGTGACTAGACTTGCTGTCTCCTTCGTTAGCTGTATTCCTGTAAGGTCTTCAGCCTTTACAGCCAGAGATACCTGGATGCTTGGTTCTCTCTTTTTTCCTTCAGGGTCAACAGAACTTTTCTGTAGCTACTACCTGGGATGTAAGCCTTGACTGTGCTGTGACCTGACAACCTGCAGGCAGTCCCTAAATACTCAAAGTTAGCCGTGCTGATGAGACAGATAATAATTTGGAGATACAACTGTTCTAGGTTCACAGTTTTCCATTTGTTTTGTTTTAGCTGCCTTTAAGGTTCAACGATGCCTTGGTACTCAGACAGCTCCGATACACTGGAATGCTGGAGACAGTTCGGATTCGCCAGTCAGGATACAGCTGCAAATACTCTTTTCAGGTTGTGCTTCTGTAGTGATATTTATATATTCATATCACATAAATATTTTCGCCTATCTATTTCTTTTGGTCTCACTTGTTTATTTCTCTTAATTCTCATTTTCTGGTCTCTTTTGTATACAGACTTGAAAAAGTTTAAAAATGTACTTATTTTTGTTGGATACCAGCAATCTCACTAAGCTTGTGTTGTAATAGAATCCAGTATATGGCTATTATCTAATCAGAGTGTTTTCTAGTAAATTAAATGATAATGCAGTTCTTCACACTGATTGCTCCAGGAATTGAAGTAGTCAATCAAAATTATCTAGCCACTGATAGTTTTCATAGCAGGGTTTTCTTTAATAGGAAACTACCAAGAAGGTACACAGCTATTATTATCAGCTACTGCAGCTATATCTGTAGAAATTATATTGAAGCTGTGTGTGGTGGTACACGCCTAAAGTCCTATGACTGAAGTAGGAGTATCGCTGCAAGTTTGAAGCCAGCCTCAACTGCATAGGGAAACCCCATTTCTTTTCTTTTTTTTTTTTTTTTTTTGCTATTTTTTAAAAGTAATTTTAATGAGAAAGAATTAGCAATGAGACAGTTTCAAAACAGGTTAGTAGGACAGTTACAATAATTAATACATTGTATATTGTTGTCTTCGTACTAGTTATTCAGAGTACAAAATGCAGAGTACAATAGTGTCTTGTCCAAACACTATTAGTACAAATCTTTCTTCTCATTGAACTAAGGGAAAGTAGCTGTATATCTGTCCTAACTATGTTGTATATACATATATAGAGACATATGTAGATATGTATATATATATATTTTTTTTCACTACAAAATGGTCCTTCATTTATATCCCCCTTTTTTGTTTGATCAGAGATGGGTGTTCCATTGTCATTCAAATATTATAGGTGCTTGAGTTCAGCAAAATAATCTAATATAGTCCAATAGTCCATAATAGTAGTGGAAACCCCATTTCAAAAAAACGAAAAACAAATTTTTATATTGGAGTCTTTGTTGTACTGAGGAAGAAAACTTTAATCTCAGTTATACCCTTCTAATAGCTCCCATGCTAGGCATAGTAGCATACTCTGGTTGTCTCAGAATTTTGGGAGTCAGAGGTAGGAAGATTATAAGTTCAAGGCAAGCCTGGGCCACATAGTTACTTGGTTAGATCTCATCTCAAAAAAACACATTAAATAGCCTGGGTTCAATACTAAAAATAAAAGGGTGCCGCATTAGATTTTTTTTGTTTATTGGCTAAGAATTTCAGGTTTCTGCTAAATAATCGTTTCTTTTGTCTTTAATACATATTTCTCCAAAGAGATAATTAACTTTTGTCTTTCTTCTTCCATTTGATAGCATTAATATACAGAACTCAGTTTCTTTCCCTCTTCCCATTTTTTAAAAATTAACCTTTTATATATTAAATCAATAACTGCCTTTTTTGTTTCATCTGTTTAAAAGAAAAAGACAGAGTAATTAAGGGATAATTAACTTGTTTAGTGTTTTGTTTACTACAAATACAATTCTCGTGATTTTACAGCATTTTCTTTTTATTTTTCAGGATTTTGTGAGCCACTTTCATGTACTTCTTCCTCAAAATATTATTCCATCCAAATTTAACATTCAGAATTTCTTTAGGAAAATAAATCTTAATCCAGATAGTTACCAAGTTGGAAAAACCATGGTAAATATAATATATGTATGTATATATATCCTTTGTCAAAATTGAATAATTTTTGTATTTTCGTAATTTCAGTTGTTAATTATGAGGATTTTTATTTAAAAAGTAGTGCATCAAATTCATAAGGAAATTGATTAAGCTAAAATTATTTTTGTTTACTATAACTAATATTAACAAAACTTTTGGTCAGTCCTTTACTTGTGACTGTAATTTTAGCTGTAATTTAAACCATCTCTGACTAGATATTCCACCATCTTTGGCAACTCACTTGCCCAAGGTAACCTTATCCAGATTCATCTATTAGTCTTAATTTATCAGCAGCTTTCTTTTTTTTTACTTCTTTTCCTCTTCTCAGCCTAGAAGTCATTTTAGCTTACCCTTCAACATAATGGTTTTGCAAAATTCTGTTTCTCTCTTTTCTTACAAATGATATTTACATCTTTTCCCTTTTTTCTATTCTTTCTGCTTCCATTTTCTTTTCATTAGCTCTTATCTAAGTTACTCTTAGAATAAACAGATGTTTATCTGTTATTAATCTATTTTAGTAATTTGTGTAACTTATTTTATTCTGATCAAAAGGATCTTAATATATTTTGTCTTGGCCTCTTGCGCTATAATAGTACCCCAGTGACTTCCTCATTAAATTCAAACATCTTCCTCTGTTTAAAGAACCTTCAAATTGTGGCTTCATACCATTCATTATCCTCTTCATGAAAATGAAGGGTTCTGTTGTATTCTGTCCATGCCTTTATTTTTGTTTCAATGCCTTTTGTTGCTCAGGTGAGATCTTCTGAGCCTTTATTCATTGTTTTCTTGTTAGGGTACATAATATTTATCTGCATTTGACGGTAAAGTGCAAATTTTGTTTCCAAAGAGTTATGTCTTAATTTATTTTTGTATATCGCAAAACCTCTAAGAATTTATCAGAGGGAAGAAAAAGTAAGTAAATAACCTGATGGATAGTTTTGGCCATAAGAAATCTTTGATGAATGCTAGATTTTAAAAATGCTGTGCTGTCATTGGTTTATTCACATAATGATCAAGTTTCAAGATATGGTTCTCAATCTTTGCCTTATAACACACTTTAAAAATATTATGTTGACATATTTTCAATAGTACATTGAGTCATAGAAGCGATTTTTTCCCAAAGGAATAATGTATCCAGTCTCTGCAGGTAGAATTGTTGTATTCTTGTTCATCTTCCTACTCCTCCTGTGTTTTAATGTATTCTTTTCAATTTGAGAATGACTGTTCAGATCAGTTGATACAGGACTTCGTTTTTCAGTCTTTCATTTAAATGTCTGCATTTGTTCTTGTCTAAAAAGCCTGCTACAGGAAGAATATTTCATGGAAACAAAACTTTTATGTCTTCTTCTTAAGCTGCATTCCCTGTGTTTCTTCTTGTGGTAGATCTTCTTGAAGGAGCAGGAACGACAGCACTTACAGGACCTGCTTCACCAAGAGGTACTCCGTAGAATCGTGTTGTTGCAGCGATGGTTCCGGGTGTTGCTGTGTAGACAGCATTTCCTTCATCTGAGACAGGCAGCCATTGTTATCCAGGTGTGACGCAGAGGAGTCTTTGCATGAGATTGGCTGGTTTATTTGTTCTTTATTCAATAACAACTCACAGTTTCACTGTGTAACTCGTAATAATGATGTAAACTGCAGAGATGAGAATGTATTCTTGATTTTATAATGTTCACAACACCCAATAGATTACTACTGATTTGCTTAATTTAAGTTAACTTGCATTTATACTTGCAGTGTTTTGTGAGGTATGAACAGGTGCAAAGGAGTCATGTAACTTAATTTTTATTGAGATGGCTCTTTTTATGTAATAGTTTGCTTAGTGACATTTGAGAGCTACATGTACATTGCTCTTAGGCATTATTGGGTGATGGGCACCTTATGTCACATTTTTTTTTTTTCTGGCTCATTTAAGTTTATTAAAGTCAACAGTATGGGACATAAAAAAAATCAGATAAATATCAACACAATTACAATAACTTCTTGGTTCATGAGCACCTCTGTTTGTGAACAATTCTGTGAAGCTTTTTGTATTTTTTAGCACATACTGTATAGTGTTAATCAGTTCAGCATTACCTTACCAGAAGTGACAACAAAGCCACCATAGCAAGAAACAAGTTGGTATTTTTCTCTCAAAATACTTGCATTTGTTCATTTTTCTAGCTTTGGTCAAGTTGACACTCAAATCACTTCTCCAGTACTTCTTTTGTCTAGTGACAGTCTGCAGCAGATCTGTATGGCAGTTACTTTTTTAAAAATTTAGTGTAAATAGAGCTTTCTGAACAGTTACTGTAGGTGTACACATGTGTTCCCATATTTTCTCCCTTTTCATTTATTGAGCATTTCCTGTAAGCTTGTATTAGCTCATTTTATAATTATCTATGAATTTTCTAATATGTGAGTCCCTACAGAATGTTAACAGACCAGTTACATATGTATACATACCAGTTACATATGTTTGCATACACATTTTTATCTGTTATTATTTCTCTCATTTTTTATATTCTTGGGTATTTGCCACAAGACATTTTTTTGTGTATAAGGAAATCTTTAGTGTCTTCATCTTTAGTTGCCTTAAACCTATTAATATTATTAGAGCAAATTGTATCAAAAAATATTACTTGTTGAAATGAATTTGTAGGGCATGAAAACATCCAAAATTTTTATGTTCTATAGTTAACTTGATGAAGGTTATTATTTAAAGTAGTTGTTTATTCAAGCATATCTGGAAGACTTTTTTATTCAGTGACAGTTTAGCTATTTAGCCACTTCTGAGAAATTTATCCTTTTTTCTCATTTTTATGGTGACATGACTGACGACCCATGTTGTTATTTTCCTCCCAGAGATTCTGGAGGAATTACCTAAATCAAAAGCAAGTCAGAACTACAGCTGTGCAGAAGGATGCTTTTGTCATGGCTAGTGCAGCTACTCTCCTCCAAGCTTCCTGGCGTGCTCACTTAGAGAGGCAAAGGTACTTAGAGCTACGGGCTGCAGTCATCATCATCCAGCGGAAATGGAGGAACCTCTGTAGGTACAGGCACATGGCTGCCACCTGCATACAGGCAAGATGGAAGAGCTACAGGGAAAGTAAGAGATATCAAGAGCAAAGGAATGCAATTATCCTTTTGCAGTCGACGTATAGAGGATTCACAGCAAGACAAAGGTAATATTTGTTGCTAGTACTATTACTAGTTATATACAGTTTATTTCTTCACTACACTGGCTGGACTTGAACTCACCATGTAGCCCAGGCTGGCCTCGAAATTGCAGCAATCCTCCTGTCCCTATTCCCTGAGTGCAGAGATTATAGTCTTGTGCTACCACACCAACAGTATTCAACTTTTTATCTATAGTAACATTCATTTCATATGTAAGGTCTGTCCTAAAGTAAAGATATTATTAAAATAAGAGCTGTTCTTCTGAGTTAGTTTACATTTTGGCTGGAATGCCCAGTTAGAAATAATATACATAGCTGGGCACGATGGCACACACTTATAATCTTAGCACTTGGGAGCCTGAGGCAGAAGGATCACTACAGGTTTGAAGCCAGCTGAGGCTGCATAGTTAATTCAAGGCCAACCAAACTTACAGAGCAACAGCCTCTCTGGGAAAAACAGACAGACAAACCAAAAAAAAAGAAACTTGATATTCATAATGAATGTCCTCTGTCTCATGGAAATGGGAAAATTCAAATGATATGATTAAGAAATCCTTAAGTATTACAAGATGAAAATTTTAAAGCTAGGTGCAGTGGCACATACCAGTATTGCAGCTGTGGAGTGGGGATCACTTAAACTTGAAGTTTAAGGCCACCCTGAACAAGTGCAGCATAATAGACTATCTTTAAAATAAGAAAGAAAAAAACTGTGACTTTCCATTTCTTTTTAAATTTCTAGTATTTCTAATCAATGCATTCTCTTCATTGATAGCCAGGTTATCTATAACCCATTTATGTCTGTTTTCATGTAGATTTAAAGCCATAAAAGAACAGAAGCTAAAAGAAGCAAAACTAGAGCATGGATTAATGAATGTTAAGGTATTTGGAGCTCTGGGAATTCGGGGTTCAGACCCTTCAGAGTGGGAGGACCGTTCCTTTGACAGCAGAGTGAAAGCCATAGAGGAAAGTAAATCTGTGATGGACAGTAATCGTGTTGGCCATGATGGTTCAGTGGAGGGTGCAGAGGAGTCTCTGGACAAGAGACAGGAGAGAGCCAGAAGCCAAAGTGGTGTGGACTTACAGCAAGAGGTGATTGTCAGAGAAAGACCCAAGTCATTGGAAGATCTCCATCAGAAAAAAGTAGGCCGGGCCAAAAGAGAAAGCCGGAGAATGAGAGAGCTAGAGCAAGCTATATTTAGTTTGGAACTACTGAAAGTTCGTTCTCTTGGTGGTATGTCTCCTTCAGAGGAGCGCAGATGGTCTACAGAACTGATGCCTGAAGGCCTCCAGTCTCCACAGGACACTCCTGATAGTGAAAGCTCTCAAGGAAGCTTGGAACTTCTGAGCTGTGAGGACAGCCTGAAGAGTAAGCTAGAGTCTGTAACTTTAGATGAAGGACACTTGCAGGCTCCATCGCCAAAGATGTCTCACAGTCTAAAATCTGATTCACAGGACAATTCGCTCGGTGTCTCAAGTGAGACCAGCTCTGTAGGGATTGGAAAGGGAGCATCCTCTGACTCAGAGACCTTAAAGAATGGGACTTTACAGGAAAAGCGGGTCTGTGGTTCTGAGCCTATCACCTGTAAGCCACAGCAGAGAGACTCATCCATGTCAAATAGTTTGCCTACATTTTTTTATATTCCCCATCAAGACACCCTGAAAACAAGTTCCCAGCTAGACACTAGTGTCCAAAGAAACAAACATTTGGAACACAACCACACAATGGGGACAGCTCATATTTTAGATTTCAGCAAAGAAGCTAGAAAGTCTCACTTCTCAGGAGACCAAGTGGTTCCTTCTTTGAATATGGATTCTTCTAATAATGTGCTTAAGAAATTAGAAAAACTAAACACAGAGAAGGAAGAAAGGCAAAAGCAGTTGCAGCAGCAAAATGAAAAAGAAATGATGGAACAGATTCGAAAGCAAACAGATATTCTGGAAAAGGAGCGCAAAGCTTTCAAGACAATCGAAAAGCCAAGAGGTGGCGAGTCTTTCCTGCCACCATCATTCTGTCAGTCAAAGCCAAGAGCAGAAAGGCCAACCTCTCTATTTATTCCAAGTGCCCCAAATAAGGGAGAACCCAGTGGACTAGGATCCCCATCAGTACTTGTAAAAGATTCTGGTTTTGCCCCCAAAGACAGTTCTTCTGCTCATTTACCCCTTCAGGACCGACCTGTCACACTTTTCTTTGAAAGAAAAGGAAACCCCTTCCAATCTAGTAGTGTCAAAGAATTGTGCAAAACAGAAAGAATGGGCACCCAGCAGGATATTACCAGCAAACACACTAATAATCGCATCTCAAAAAGAGAACACCTTAGACCAGGTCAGTCTTATGACCACAAGCTTGAAGACCCTTCCAGAGAAGGAACTACAAGGGCCATTTTCTTCACATCAAAGGACAATGCAAGTATTCCTGTGTAAGTAAAATGTTTACTTGTGGCTACAAATGGACATGTTCTTAGAGTTTTTTTGTTTTTGTTTTTGTTTTTTTTTAATACCAGAACTTGAATTCAGGACCTTGAACACTTGCCAGGCAGGCACTTGCACCACTGAGCTATATTCCCAGCCCTTTTGAGGTATTTTTATGGTGTCTTTTCTGCTCCACTTATTTATGTAGTCATTTGTTTTCTTTTTGTAAAAATACTCCTTAGAAACAAAACAAAGCATTGATTCTTTAGCCACCTGAAATTGGATACAGTTGTACCCAGAATTCTCTGAACACAAGTAGCAAAGTTCTTTATTCTTCCTCATTAGGTCAAAGAGTATGTGCAAAGGGCAGTTATACACATGTGCAGGTCTCTCTCAAGCTGTGAAACGTAGCTCTCCAAGCTGGCCAGAGTCAGGCTTTAATGAAGTTAATGTCTTTTGTGGGTCTGTTTATGGCCTTCGTTATTTTCTTTATACACGCATAGGTATGGATGTGTGTAGTGGGTGGGTGTGTTTGAGTATGTGATAAATACATAAATTTACTATCTTTCACCTTTTTTTTTTTTTTTTTTT